AGCAATATGCATCTTTATATTACTTAATTAAACAACTAGAACAACTATAGTCATTACAATATCAACTTAATGTAACTTAACAACTTTACAACAATAATCTACTTCAAGTTATACATATCGAATTATTAATAATTCAATGATAGACAACATGTAAACAACTTAGTTTCATCAACCACACAACCTATAAACAACTTAAGCCAACAACTACTCAACTCATCTTCATCAGGCAACTTAACGACTTTACAACCTTACAAACAACTTCAACAATATACAACATATTCGACACAAATTACAAATCAACCAACATATCTAAATTTCATCTATCATTTCAACTTACACAATGTAAACAACATAAATCAACTAAAGCGCCCAACAACTCAACCATTTCAACAAAAAAAAAAAACACAATGCATAAAGCTTCCCTAACCTGAATATTGGCTCCGAACAGCCAAGAATTCGGGAATAAGAAAAACTTTCATCCGAGCTCGACTCCTGAACTTCAATCCTTCAAAATCAAGCTTCCTAGCGAACTACAGTCCTTCTCTCTAAACTTCTCTCCCTTCCTCTCCCTCTTTCTTTCCCTTTCTCTCCTTCCTTAACGCCTATTTATAGAGGTCAGGAGTGGGAAGAACGACCTGTTTCAAATCCGGAACGGCCCGTTCTAGGCTCTTTCATCATGTGTAAAATTCACATGCAGAACAGTCCGTTCTGGTTCCGTTCTGAAACCAGAACGTCCCGTTCTGGCATGTCTAGAACAGCCCATTCTGGAGTTGAATTTAACTCACAACAATCATGTTTGGAACGGCCCGTTCCAGTGTAGGATTTTTAGGCCAATTTAGTAGTTTGGGACGGCCCATTTCAGTTTGAGAACGGCCCGTTCTGGACTGCTAAATCACCCATGACCTTCTGAAATACTTACTACGTTACAATTTGTATTGAATTTTATTTTATTTTTACTTTTATTGTTATGAAATATATATCAGATTTGAAGATAATTAATTTCGTAAGAGAATTCACTAACAACATTTAGCAGGTTTTTCTCTCTTAATCATATGTTATTTTATAAACAAATTTCGAATTTGAAACTTTATTTAAGGAGATAAAATTCAGTATAACACTCGAACTAATAATTTGTTATTTATTTATATTAATTTAGTTATAATTAATTTGAAATACGAAATATTTATCAAATTTAAAGATAACTAGTTTCTATCTGAGAATTCACTAGTGACATTTAATATATTCTTCTCTCTTCACTATATGTTTTTCGATGCACAAGTCTTAAATTCGAAACTTTATTTAAGGAGATCAAATTCAGTATACCACTCAAACTAATAATTTATTATTTATTTATATTAATTTAATTATAATTAACTTGAAATAAAAACTATAACTAATTATTAGTGTGTTTATAAAGCAAGTTTAATGACTTGTTATCTATTTATATTAATTTGATTATAATTAACTTGGAATAAAAACTATGCAATTAATTATTAGCATGTTTGTCTCTCAATCTCTCTCTATACACACATTTCTCCTCTTGCCCATTTTATTGTCATTATTTTTCAGATTTCAACATGCTTCTAACACACATATTTCTCCGCTTGCCCATTTTATTGTCACACACACATGAACCTTGCTAACATGTAAAATGACATTCGTAATATTGATTTTATTAAGCATGGTATAATGTGACATGTGTCTAGTTTAAGGTAAGCAAATGGTTATTTTATTAACGTACCATTTCTTACTTGTATGCAGAATCGATGTGTTCACATGATAGCTCATCTTTTTAATGCGCCATTAGAAGAGTCTGAGGCTGCAGTTGGTGTTGGTACAGTTGGCTCATCTGAGGCGATAATGTTGGCTGGATTGGCATTCAAAAGGAAGTGACAGAACAGAAGGAAAGAAGAGGGAAAGCCTTATGACAAACCCAACATTGCCACTGGAGCCAACGTTCAGGTACACTTACAAACATGTTTATTGTTCTATAGCATATCACTACGTTTTTCAACACCGATCAACCTGGTCAATTGGTACAAGATTATTTCAGTTTAATTAAATGATCTCGAATTTTATCCTATATATGCAGTTGCATTAAATATCTGAAGAAAAAAATTTCCTGTTTATAATAGCTTATCTAATTCAAAAAAGATCGGCTCTGATTAAGGAAACTTGTGTTCTATTCCAGAAAAAATATCACTAAGTTTCTCTAGCATTGTTTGTTGAGTGTTTAATTGATTCTTTAAAACAGGTCTGCTGGGAGAAATTTGCAAGGTACTTTGAGGTGGAGTTAAAGGAAGTTAAGCTGCGTGATGGGTACTATGTGATGGACCCTGAAAAGGCCGTGGAGTTGGTGGATGAGAACATTATTTGTGTTGCTGCTATCCTTGGTTCCACACTAAATGGAGAATTTGAAGATGTCAAACGTTTGAATGATCTCCTGATTGAAAAGAATAAGCAAACTGGGTATATCTCTTACTTTCTTCCCCTCCCTCCCCTTAAATGCTTCTTACTTTGTACACCAAGTTTTAATTGAATAAAAATCTTAGAATTCTAGGCCTTATGAATTGACATGTGAAATTCTTTGGTAGATGGGACACTCCTATTCATGTGGACGCAGCTAGTGGTGGCTTCATTGCTCGATTTATTTACCCAGAGCTTGAGTAGGACTTCCGGTTACCTCTAGTGAAGAGCATCAATGTTAGTGGGCACAAGTATGGTCTGTTCTATGCTGGAATCGGTTGGGTTATTTGGAGAATTAAGGAGGACTTGCCTGATGAACTTATCTTCCATATCAACTATCATGGAGCTGATCAACCCACCTTCACCCTCAACTTCTCCAAAGGTAACAAGTAATTTAATAACTCAGTTAGTCTAAGTAGCAAGTACTACTAACAACAAGCCCGATTCACTTGCACTTTCTACCATAACCATTCATTAGTTTATGCACAATCGTACTCATTTCTTTCACAAAACAAGCAATGCAGGTTCTAGCCAAGTCATTGCTCAATACTACCAACTAATTCGCCTTGGCTATGAAGTAATAAGACCAACCAGCAGATTCAATTATAATTGCAGTGGTGTTTCCACAATCCTCTTAATTCACATAAGAGAAATGTTGCTAATATACTCTTCGATATACTTTTTTTTTTCCTAAAAAATACAGACTTAAAATACTTTTTTTACGTTAGTCTCAATAATAATATTTTTATTGGTTGGCAATGGAGAAAAATTTATACTGAAAATTAAACTCATATTTGGCAAGGATAAAGAATGTGCAAGAAAGAGTATATTAGCAACATTT